AATTTAAAAGTTACTTACAAAGTTATGTATTGTCTGCTCATGAAGCATGCCTGTGTAGCTCAGTTAGCTTTGTGACTTGTGAGAACCCTTGGTTTATGACTTAATTCTTTTCAACTGTATTTTGTTAGTTTTATGTAGCTATCATAAGAGATGTTACTCACCCATGTGCTGTTATTTCTGCTAGGAGACATTTTTAAAAATAAATTGGCATAATTATTTTTAAAATAATTAAGCCACAACTCAAAAATGCTATCAGAATTGGCTTAAATTTTCTACATAGCATATATGGATGTAAATAACTGTGCATAAAAAAATATATCAGAATGTAAAAAATTGGCATAGGTATGACTGAGTAAGTCATGTAATAGTACATTTTTGAGTTTTCAACTTAATTATTAATCAAAACTGAGTTGCACTGTTTTGAGTGCTGAAGCATGTCATGAGCCTCATTATGTTTTGCATGGTGGCAATACTGCATGTCACTTGTAATAAACTATACTTGTAAGCTAATAAGAAAGTTGTTTCCTGCACCAAACATGACAAAAAACAGAACATGATGGAAAAGCAAGCATGGTTACAATGGTATAAATGTACGTGCATCACTGTTATGACATATAAAATTGATGGTCCTAAAAATTATGCATAGACAGGAAGCAGTTGACTCACAATAAGGTTATACTAGCTGATTCTTCTTACTATATAATTCTTATTATTAATAATAAAGGAACAATATCCTTAACTGGTTATGCTCACCTTATGTTCACCTAATTTATTCCTTATGTAGTATAATGTTACTCCATTGCACTGTGCTAGTGAAACTGGTAACAGTAGAATTATCAAATTATTAATAACTAAAGGAAATAGTGATGTGAATGCTGTGGATAAGGTAAAGGTAATTATTAAATAATTATTCATTTTGTGTTGTACTTCTAGGACAAAAAAAGTGCACTGTTTAATGCTGTTAAGAGTGGTAGCATTGAAGCTGTTGATATTTTGTTAACTAATGGAGCTAGAACTGATGTTGTTGATAAAGTAAGTAAAATTTCCTTTATATTTATAAAGTATACTAGATGACACTACCTTATTGTGTTAATTACTCATGCCTATTTTGATTGTTACTACTGTCATAGGATGGTGAAACTCTACTACATTGTGCTGGTGAATGTGGTAAAGGTGAAATGCTTGAGTTTTGGAGAGGAGATTATGATGTGAATGTTAAGGATAAAGTAATTGATTTCAACTTATCAATCACTTTATGTTCTATTATAGCGGAAGAGAACTCCATTGTTTAATGCTGTTAAGAGTGGTAGCATTGAAGCTGTTGATATTCTATTAACTAATGGAGCTAGAACTGATATTGTTGATGAAGTAAGCTTAATTTATGTACTGTATAGCCATTAAGTTTTGAGGCAATAAACTTTTGTGAATTAGGCCACAAGTCTTTTTTTGCAAATTAAATTTTGTGGTCCACCATGAAGCCACATCCAAGAGAGCCATTTTATTTCGTAAAGTACACATGAGTGTAGGTTGAGACTGATAATTTTATGAAATTAACTTTTGTGTGTATGGAAAATCCGTGAAAACAGCAAAATTATATCCTCAAAATTAAGTGGCTTTACAATGTATGTTATACTATGTTGACAAAGTATCACTATTATCATTATCCACTCTTGCTATTATGTTAGAGCAAAGCATATATATGTGTATTATCAAGAGTACATAATGTACTTTTGGTTATATATCATACTAAACAGGTCTTTACACAAAAATATGAGACACCAATGGTGCATTGGCCTTGCCAAAACAAAGAAAAAAATTTTACATGTATGATTTTAAAACTATATTTTGTCCTACATATTACCACTGTATTAAAAGTGACTTGCTTTGATTGCATTCTTCATAGTCTAATTGGGGCGAGCCTGAGCTCGCCCCACTAAGGCGAGAAAGCGTCTGTATGTATGTATGTACGGGCGGGTCGTCTAATTATCATTAAAGTTAAATAGCCTAATCTTCAATGAAAACGGGTATGGTCACAATGAATAAAATGGCGGCCATCAGCAAGTCTGAGCTTATTTGCAGCAGACGGTCAGCAAGATAAGACTAAACTGCTGTCTAAGAACTTCTCTAGCAAGAAGAAAGGTTGGAAAAGCAGATATACAGTCTTTTCCTTGGCATAAAGGACTCTGCTAAGTTGAATGCAAGTGAGAAAGCTGCATGTACTGTACTGCTATAGCTGCTTGCATCATGACATCTATTCTAGGCCATGTTTCTTCTCTAGCAGCAAGCCTAGGCTAACAAAGCAGTTATACAATCATCAAATACGATTTCTTCAGTGACTGCTTCAAACTATAAGGGGCTCGCCCCTTAATGCATTGCATTTTCCCTAGTTAAATGTGAGGGTGTTTGGGTGTGGCGGGACTGTGACCACAAACTGACAGGCACTGTCAGGCAGCCTAGCATTGCATGGCAGTTGTTACAGTACAGAGAAAGTGTCAAATCTTGATTGCTGGAGTTGTCACAGTCCAGTAAAAGTGTCAAATCTTGATTGCTAGAGTAAAATGGTGTCTCTTGGAGAAACTGCTGGGCCGAGAAGCTTCAGTTTCCGCTTGGACTTCTGCTCAGTGCACACACACATTTACTAGCCTCTATTTGTTCCATATAAACTCTTGTCAAGTGCCTGAAGTTTATAGGCCTAATAGCTACTCTTCCTAAGGACAAGCGCCTTGTGTAAAGTCAAGAGGTAAGTAATTTTTTCAAGACAAAGAAAGTTACAGAGAAACGCTACATATTTTTTAAAGAAAAGGTTTTTGTGTCTCTCTAGAGATACTAGATAGCCCTGTTACTGGAAGCATGATGAAATGATAGGAGAAACTTCCTACATTTGGCATGATTTTTAGCTTTTGGTTCCTTGCACTGCCATTTATACTTGATAAAGCTAAAGAAAGTAACTTTTTCTAGCGCATGGAGAAGTTATCTGAGTGTAGGGGACCCCCTTCTAAAACCACAATACCTCAAAGTGAGAGATTGCTTCTGGACAGAATGAATGAATGACATAGTCCTCACCCATGCTCAGTAATCTCTGGCGAGCCCAATAAACCCGACCACATGAAAGAATGATGTCATAATTATGATATACCATATAGTGGGAAATTTTGGAGGGCATTAAATTTGGCGAATTTGGCATTTTGATAGCCATTTGCCAAAATAAAAATTTGCCATTTTGAGCCATTATATACGCATGCTCAATGGCACGTGGCCACAAATTCGCCAAATTAAAATCTGCCAGTCACCAAAGTTTAGCAATTTGTCAAATTTTAGCTCCTCCAAAATTTCCCACTATACGGTATGTGTATATTATATTCAATGTTGGGAGTTTCTAAACCTTCTTACAAATTAAAAGTGGTATACAACTATCAATGAAATGATTCAATTTTATGTTTCTTTATTTGTGATTGTTTATTATTAGCATGATGATAGCACTCCATTGCACTGTGCTAGTGAAACTGGTAACTGTAAAATTATCAAATTATTAGTAACTAAAGGATATGCTGATGTGAATGCTGTGGATGAGGTAAACTGAGTTATTAAATAACCATTTGTAATTACATCATTTTTTGCTGTATTTATAGGACAACAGAACTCCATTGTTCAATGCTGTTAAGAAAGGTAGCATTGAAGCTGTTGATATTCTATTAACTAATGGAGCCAGAATTGATGTTGTCTCAAAAGTAACTGCTTAACATGCTAGATAAGTGTAACTATATGCTCATTGATTATTAATTCATGTCTGACAATATAATAAAATGAGTGTACTGGCCTATTTTGTTTTGAATAATGTTTGCAATAATAATAATTATTGTTGTAATTTAATTGTCAGAGTGGTGAAACTCTACTACATTGTGCTGGTGAATCTGGTAAAGTTGAAATGCTTCAGTTTTGGATTAGGAGAGGAGATTATGATGTGAATGTTAAAAATAAAGTAATTTATTTCAAATTATCAGTCACTTTATGTTGTATTATAGAAGAAAAGAACTCCTTTGTTTAATGCTGTTGAGAGCGGTAGTATTGAAGCTGTTGATATTCTATTAACTAATGGAGCTAGTGCTGATGTTGTGGATACAGTAAGTGCCATACCATAATGCATGGCAAGGTTATGCACCTGAGCCTTAGGGCATAGCCTTAAAAAGAGAACCGTACTATTTTGTGGTTAAAATGTTTGCAAATCCTGCATTTCTAATATTTCAATAAAAAATTCTGTGAATAGCTTGCAAACTGCATCATGTATTTGTGATTTTCATTTTCACAATGTAGCAAAAACTCCAGAATTAGCCATGAAAATAAACTGGTATAATGCATGTATGCTATTCAGTTGTACACAGGCACTGTTTATAAATATAAATAATTGTATCACAGACTCACAGTATGTAATATACACCCAAAAACATCAAAGAAATGATATCATCACTATAGTCTGAATTATAATTATTAAAGTGAATACTTATTTACATAGAATGATTACAGCACTCCATTACATTGTGCTAGTCAAACTGGCAACAGTGAAATTATCAAATTATTAATAACTAAAAGAAAGATTGATGTGAATGCTGTGGATAAGGTAAAGTTATTAAATAATCATTTCTAATTGTATCATTTTGTGTTGTAACTGTAGAGGAAGAGAACTCCATTGTTTATTGCTGTTAAGAAAGGTAACACTGAAGCTGTTGATATTCTATTGACTAATGGAGCTAGAACTGATAATGTGGATAAAGTAAGTTTTTTTACAATTTATGCTAAAATAAATGTATAACATATAGTGTTACATTATTTCTATGACATAGTAAAAATAAAAATATTGGCCTGATTTGTTTGGAATTATTATTTTTTTATAATAGGATGGTGAAACCCTATTACATTGTGCCAGTGAATCTGGTGAAGTTGAAATGCTTGAGTTCTGGATTAAGAGAGGAGATTATGATGTGAATGTCAAAGATAAAGTAATTTATTTCAAATTATTAGTCAATTATGTTGTATTATAGAATAATAAAACACCATTGTTCAGTGCTCTTAACAGGTTTAATAGTAGTATTGAAGCTGTTGATATTCTATTAAGTAATGGAGCTAGAACTGACATTTTTGATAAAGTAAATTACATACACGGAAAAGTTACACCAGTGATAATTTTTCATTTTTTGTGAGACAATGTGTTTTGTGTGCATTGTGTTTGTTGACACAATTTGAAAATGTTTATTTTTAGAGTTTGTAAATAAATCTTTTTACAAAATGATTTCCTTTGACAAAATATTGATACCATAATTTTTTAATATCCCAAAAAATTTACTAAATTTAATTAAATTTGTTTAACATAAGGCTTATCTATCACTCATAATAGTATGATGATACTCCATTACACTGTGCTAGTGAAACTGGTAACAGTGAAATCATCAAATTATTAATAATTAAAGGAAAGTCTGATGTGAATGTTGTCGATAAGGTAAATTTATTAAGTAATCATTATAAATTGTATATATTTTGTTGTATTTATATAGAATAAAAAAACTCCATTGTTTAATGCTGTTAAGAGTGGTAGCATTGAAGCTGTTGATATTCTATTAACTAATGGAGCTAGAACTGATGTTGTGGATAAAGTAATTAAAATTTTACTAAATTGTTTTTAAAAAGTAACTAATACCTGATGATGTTAATTTTTGATTTTGTGATAAAAATAAGGCTACTGGTTTGTTTTGTCATAGGATGGGGAAACTTTACTACATTGTGCTAGTGAATCTGGTGAAATTGAAATGCTTGAATTTTGGATTAGGAGAGGAGATTATGATGTGAATGTTAAGGATAAAGTAATACATTTGAAAAAATCATCAGTCACTTTATGTTGTACGTATTATATAGAGGAATAGAACTCCATTGTTTAATACCCTTGAGAGGTTTAACAGTAGTGTTGAAGCTGTTGATATTTTATTAACTAATGGAGCTAGTACTGATGTTGTGGATACAGTAAGTTACTATGATGTTATTTTTGAGTAAAATGTGTTTGTGTGCGTTCTGTGTGTTTTAGCAGCTTTTTAGAATCAAGTGTTGCTTAGTTCACTTTTTTTACACAATTCAATGGTTTTATTAATTTTATGAGTCTCTATATATCTCACAGAGGTGCAAAGTTATTTAATGAAACCTTCAACTCCATTGCTGTTACTTAACATGTATACTTAATTATTTATGTAGAATGATGATAGCACTCCATTACACTGTGCTAGTGAAACTGGTAACAGTAAAATTATTAAATTATTAATAACTAAAGGAAAGGCTGATGTAAATGCTGTGGATGAGGTAAAATTATTAGTAATTATATCATAATTATTGTG